GTTAAGCGGATTATGCTTTTGTGGCATTTGGCAGGAATACAGCGTATACAGCGCAATACATATATTGTCTCTGCAATTTCACAGCTGTGAGGGAATGCCAAGTTTTTTCTTTGGTACCTGCTGTAGAGGTATGCATTCTTACACCTGCTTCCACACTTACACTGAGAAAGATGCAAACTTAAGCTTGTTTGTAAAACTGGAGTCTGATTAATGATTATTATGCTATATGATTATTATAAGAGCCATATAATGTCCCTTTTTGCTTTAGTTTTGAAATGCAATTGCACAGAATTTGCAAATATGTTATATGTGTGATGTGTAAAGCCAGCCAATTGTGACCCATACGTTTCTCACTATCATTTCGATAATTGACTAAGGTGTTAAGAATAGCTCTATTAGCTGTCAGGTGTGATGTCTCCTGCTACAGTTGTCAAGGGAAATGTGCTTTTTCTTGGCTCAGGGGAATAAACGATGATGCATGGGGAGGGAAAGGTTTTGTACGAGCTGAGATTGCACCTGAGCTGTTTGCCCTGATTTGATTTTTGCTTTCATTTTTGTACAGTTGTCAGGGATGCTTTCTGTGTATAAATGCAGACAGATGTGAGAGGACACAGATGGCAAGTTGCAGGAACACCGTGAGCAAGTTTGTGAAAGGCTGGTGTACAAACTGGCAAAATATAATTCGGAGGCAATTCATTTCTACATTTTGGTAGATATGATTGACTGATGATGGAATCTACATGGAAAAGGCGTTTTAGTTGAAGCTCGCCTCCATAACTTCACACACTGAATATTTCTATTTGACTAAATATATTGTGCATGACACATTGTCACATGGGGAATGATTCTGTTACTGTTCATTGGTCATAAGTGTTTCTTTTGATCGTAAATTTCAGGCTCTCCTAAATAAATCCTTAATACCCTCCAGGATGCTATCAAGTGAAAGCAGCCCTGTTGCCAGGAGAAAATGTTGGCATTGTACGTTTCTGCAAACCACCAATAGGTTACATAAGTAAGTTTTATATGTATCATAATGTTTCTAGTGACGTAGTGTATGGGCTGACTTTGTCATCCAGAGATGATGGGGATGGTGGATGGCTTGTTACCTTGGTAAGACTGCAGATCACTATTCGAGACCAACAAAAAAGAAAAGCGGTTGTGTTGTAGCAAGCCATTACCTTTTAGGCTCCAGATATGGTTTGTAGCATCCCATTAACCACAGTGTTGTTGAGACTTTAAGTTTCAGTGTATCTACTACATGAAATAAGTCCAAATGTAATGTATCCAGGGTTTGCAGAAATGTAAGACACTGTACTACGTGCGTTGAAAAGGAAACGCTTTTGTCATGGTGATTGCCCAAATAATTGCCCTAATGGCGCGGCTATGGCTCAGGAGGTAGATTGGTCGTTCAACAATCTGAGTGTCCTTGGCCATTGCAGTCTACATGTTGAAGAACCTCAACTGCATGTGAGTGTGATGATGCGGATGAGTAGGTGGCACCTTGTATGGTAGCAATGGTAATGTGGGTGAACTGGTGAATGGTGCTTGTGTTGTGAAGCGCTATGAGTAGAAAAACGCCTTTAAAATGCAGTCCATTCACCAAATTTCCAGGACGATGCCTCTTATCATGTGATGTGAATTGTGAATTGTTAAGTTGGGCATTTTATATGACAAGAGGTACAGAGGCTGTCATTTCCCAAATATCAGTTATCAATTAATCCGCTGCAATCCTGCAGTTGCTTATAACGTCATAGTGATGGTATTCCTGTAAAGAATAATAGTTTCAGCCTAAAGAAATTAAGTCTCAGCCTAATGCTCTGATGCAGTCATTACTTCAGCCTGAATGGTACGCTCTATTGTGCTCCTTCACCCCCCACAGACTTATCTTTCAAATGAAAGACACCCACCTGCCCTCATCCCCATGGCAGAGTGGCACTACCTGAGGGCACTGTGGGGGAGCTGGGAGGTGAAAGGTCAGTCACTCTGTATGGTCTATCCTCTCCCCACCGGGAGGATGAAACTCATACGCAGTCTTAAACGCATAGAGAAGTCAATCGCTGGACAAAATGTCACTGTGCTGCACACTTAAAAGCACACACACACACACACACACACACACACACACACACACTCAAAACGCCAGAGTAAAGGAGTCACTTGCTGGTCAAAATGTCATTGCACTGCTCACATGAAAGCACAAACACACACACACACAGTGACACTCAAAACAACAGTTTTCTCTGATGTTCAGTTTTAGATTCAAAGGGAGCGAATGCCTTTTCCTCACTTCTTTTTCAAGGGTACACTCGATGTACAGCACCACTCAAGTCGCTGAACAGCAGCAGATCCAGAGTCCATTAGTTGCTCCGCTGATGAAATTGGTGACATTAGGCCCTATTTTCATGGCAGCGCAACAGAAAGTACAAGCAGTGCTTGCTACATTTGGTATGTTCCTGACCTTGCAATTCACTTTCTCACATCTGTGTCATGTTTCAGTAACATTCATCTGACAATTTTATCGGAATACAACAAAATACTGAAATGCAAAGAAATAACAAGCATCCAACAATATGACATCCTGAAGAAGCATCTCTCCATTTGTTCAGCTATGGTCATCATCCGTCACTGTGGTTGGTAGGGCTCTACCCGACTCAATATTATGTCAATCAAGTCAAATTTGGCTGTTCGGCAGGATGTTCAGGGTGATGTCCAGGTAATATATTAAACAAGCCAAGTCAGCCCTACGAGTTAATGCATGCTAACCCTTATTGGGCAGAACCTCTCTTTCTCCAGGCAGCCGCCTTTGTCTCACTAAGACTAACCATGGGCTCTCCTCAGAAGTACACTGCACACTGACGCACAAGAGGGAGGGAAAAAACTGCTCGATTTGAGTCTTGGTCCACTGAGTGGTCTCTAATTTTTAGGGGATAGCCCTAGTGGTTGACATGTCTGTTTCAGAGTGATGAGACCAGTGACGTGATTGGCTGTTAGGATATTTAATAATCACCGCATCCTCTGACTTATATATTGATTCCAGCCAGCCCTTTTGCACTTTGCATTGCTGCACCTACATAAACTAAAATAGCAGGTGTGCTTGAAAACGCCCACACTGTCTGTGTGCCCAAAACCTATTGCTCTGCACTTGTGATATGACATAGGATACAGTTAGAACACATGCTTCCTGCACCCAACCCCCGGCAACAGTACTTGGCTATGAGGCAATTTGGACAGAGTAGCTACAGTTGGAAATGCAGGTCATGTAATGCAAGGTGGCCCAAAACGACTTGATTTCCCAAACACAATCAGTACAAAAGACTGTAAAATGATGAATGGGGTGCCACCTTGAAATTTGGTATCCAGTTCTCTGAATACACCCATACTTGTACAGCTGTCTCACAAAGGATTCTGGGTTCAAACTTGACCATGCTGTGACCTTCTATGTACGATCGGCAACCTGTCTACAGTGTACTCTGTTGCTGGCCGAATTCATGCTAGGGCTGCAACTAACAATTATTTTAATCATCGATTAATTGGTTGATTATTTTCTTGTTCTTTGGTGTCTAAAATGTCAGAAAATGCTGAAAAACACCATCAGTGTTTTCCAAAGCCCAAGATAATATCCACAAATGTCATGTTTTGTAAACAACTCGAATATATTCAGTTTACTGTAACAGAGGAGTTAAACAGTCTTTAATTAGGAAAATATAGTGTTTTGAAGTCAGTGAACATATTCTTGAGGTCTATGTGAGCCTTGACACCACTGTAATATTTTGTAATGCACTGTTCTTCAAATTTATTTTAGTAATAGCATGGCTGTCTGAATTAATTTCCTTGCCAAATGTGAAAATGCAAAACAGCAAAAGAATTTCACTCCAAAAATGTCCTCAGCCTCGGGCCAGTTATGTACCCGTGAATGTGTCATGTGCATGTCTTATGTGCGCACTACTGTCTGTCTAAAAATGTGTCACTGCTGAGAGCTATACACCTCTAGAGTACGCGGAGAGCAGGGGGATATAATGTGTGTGTGTGCAGATGTTTGTATAGGTGTGTTTTTGTGTCAATGCGTGTGCTGTGCATGTATGCCTAGTAAGTTGGCTCTGCCGGAGGGATTTTTGCACCTGGAGTTTCTGGACAGTTGTCTTTTTCATTAGGGAAATGGCCTTTAACCTTGCCTCTCTTTCTGTACTTTCCTCACACTCACGTTTTGCTCCTAAAGATAGATGCACAGGTGCTTGCACACTGTCACCACATCTTGATAACTGCATGTGAATAAAGTAAATCCACCGGATAAGTGTTTGTAATTGTAGCTGGAGCGCTAATTATTTTTCACCAGAGACAAGGTCATTACCCATGTAATTGTCTCTCACAGAGTGGCATTGATCATTTGATTGGTGTTGCCTTGAAGGTAGATGTCCAGATTCGTGGGTGAGTTGGGACATACATGTAGGTCACCTCGACTGTAATAAACCAAACACAATTAAGGATTGTGTTTGGCAGGATATCTCTGTCTTTGTGTTTGTGTAATTGTAATTGTTGTTAGGGTTCATTAACTTGCTGATGCTTTGATTGAAGATTCGCCTTTATTGTGAAATTACCACGTCACATCTGTGTCACTATTCACCATGTCTTCGAGTATACCTCCATCCTAAGCATTTAAACAGTGCTAATAGCCCAGCACCAGGCTGACAAGAAAAACACAGTAAGGATATTCACTGATATCGTCTCATATTGATCGCAGGCCGCTGAACTGAATCTAATCGAAATCGTTTTGTGGCAGGCTTCATAATATCAGCAAATTGTGCAAAAAAAAAAAAAAAAATCAATTGAAATGATAACATATTGTAACGTATCGTAATGAAACCTGTAATTTACACCCTTACTATTTATACCCTCTGCTTTTTCAGTATGCTCCATAAGTGAGTGCTTAAGTATGGAGGACCACAACATGCCACCAGTATTAGATGGTGATTGTAATGTCTCTTTTCTTCTCTTATTTCCAGAGTCTGGGCTCTGCAGACCGAAAGGAGAATCAGAACAAGAAGTAAGTCCCATCCATCTTTGTATTCCTCTCTTTTGTAGATATTTGATGTCATAAAAACAGCAAAAGAGACCATGGACAAGATTGCAAATCAGTGGTTGTTGCCACTGTGGTAAGAGACCATGGTTGCAACAGCAACAACTAAACGCAACAGTAAAGTTCATATTAGTTGTCATTCTTTCCTGTTGTAACAACCTGCGAGTTTGCTTATACTGTACTTATCTAGGGTTATGTAAGACCTGTGTTGCCATGAAAACAGAGCACACGGGCTTACTGACCTCATTTACATAAATAATTATGTCTCATTGTGGTTCAAGAAGAACATCAAGTATCGATCGAAAGTTTTTCAAGTAACACAAAGCCAAGAATTTGACCTGATTCATACGTATTTAGATGCCTGTGTGTGTGTGTGTGTGTGTGTGTGTGTGTGTGATTGTGTGTGTGCTTGAAAAGTAAGTTAAGCCTGTCTAAGCCTGACCCCTAATCCTTTCCATAACAGTAATGCTTCTCAGTCAATAGCATGGCACCATTTGGATCGATCAGAGTAAGATTTAATTTGCTACCTGGAACAAAAGCACTCAGAGGTTTTAAACCCGTTTTCAGTAACTCCAAAAATAAAATTATGAGAGAAACCTAGTTATTGTGTGAAGGAAAATTGACTGTAGTGTTTTTTTTTCAGTAACTGATGTCGACAATGACATCTTCTATGGGTTTGTGATTCACACCGAGGAACTTTTTTGCTTGATAAGACATTGTTAACCACTCAGCCTGGTATCAACAAAATAAAAGAAGATTAGGAGACAGAACTTTATTTCCCCAGTTTTGTATTTTATCATAGTTTAGTGAGAAGCCTTTTGGTTTACTGATCTGATACCATTATATTTCCCATTACTGCTATTTGCTGTCATTGCAAACTCTACACTGACTCTATACAAACAAACAAATCATTACTGTGAATATGTTTTGTCTGTAACCTGTACGCTACTATGTTTGGGCCATTGACTGTAAGAATAAAAGACATAGCTACAGTGACGTCACCCATTGGTTTGTGAACTCCTGTTCTCTATTCGTTTCGATGTGTCACTATGGGATATGCCTCCCTGCTTATTCCATAGTGAGACATCTTACTTATGCTACTCTGAGAACCAGGGTTACGCAAGTAATCTAAAGTTTTGAACCTATAAGTTCTATACCTCGGCCATCGCCATCTTGGTTTTTTTGGAGCCAGAAGTGACCGTATTTGGATGAGAGGCTGGTGCTGTGAAGGAGCGAGAGGTGGATGGGTGGATCTGACTGAGAAGCTGAGGACCCCACCTGCAGACAGCCTGTCACTCAAAGCAGACCGCCCCTAATTATGTATAACTTTAAGCCATAAGTACCAGGCTGTAAGCATGTTTACTTCTAAAGTAAAGGTGGGCATATTAACATGGGAGTCTCGGGACATTGACTGGCTTCAGCCTCAAGTGGACATTCAAAGAACTGCAGTTTTTGGCACCTCAGTTTTCAGCCCCGGTGGTTGCCACTTGTTTGGGGCCACTAATAGAAAAAAAACAATACTTTAATAGAGTGCAGGAGGGATGATGTTTATTTGTAGGTCAACCTGTAAGTTAACACTGCCCTTGTTCCCTCGACAAAAAGACGTTTTTTTCTGTTGGATGTTGGATTATTGCAGAAAATAAGCTCTGTGGTAAACAACTTTTATGATACTAAAATCATAAAATAATCCTCACAACTGACCACCACTTATGATTTTTGAAACGTAATTGCAATCTCCAGAACTACACCACCAAAGCCATGTTTGTGTTCGCCTTTGATGATGTTCTGTAGTCTCATTTAGCCACTTGTTAGAAACCGCCATTTTTAAGACATGCGCAGGCTTCAGAATGATCTAGTATTTATTCAAGTATTTTATGTTGTAGAACAAAACGAGAAGTCTTTTTAGACTGTGTTAACCACAGACCTTATTTCAGGCATCTAACCAAAAACCCATTTAAAATGTCGACTTCAAGATGAGGGAACAGGGAGTGCTAGAATGCTAATTCATGTCCGGGTTTTAGGACTCATTCCTGCACCACTCTGAGACCCAACATCTGAGATGCACTGCAGATCACTGTGAGTTAATGGGCACATAGTGAAAGACAAGTGGGGCGGGAACTTAAATCAAACTAAATTAGCTGTATATTTTAGTTGCCCAGCAACCAAAGCCATGGACACTCATACTTATCATCACAACATACCTGTCTCCTGTCTGTTTCCTCCTGTCAGCAGTGCAGCCAGTACACCCTATGAACCTAGAGTTCCTCTTTATGAATGGATTCTTCAAATGACCAAGAAGGAGGTTATCCAATTTTCCTCTCTTTATCCCGGTCCAAAACATTTCAGGATGCCTTACTTTGGACCAATTAGCAAATTAACCCATTACAAGATTTTCTGTCTTGCTGTCTTCCTTTGAAAGCCACACCACTGCTTTGAATCGAAGCTTCAGTGAGTGTCACATTTGTTTGGTTGTTTCCTTCAGTACATTCAGCTAGGTATTCTCAAAACTATTGATTGTTTATCTTTGTACAGGCCAGTCTCGAGTGTGATAATGTGTTTACTTGGGTAAAACACTGCTTTCAGCTGCCTATGCTCGCATGGTTACATAGCAACAGGCCTTTGCTATCTAAACATGGAGGATTGTATGAGTGCGTGTACAGTGTGTGTGTGTGTGTGTGATGTCCTCAAGACACCCCATTGTGCTTGGATCTTTATAAACAAAAAATGGTGGGACACAATCAGGCTGAATCGAAGAAGCGTTCTTTTGCTGGCTGAAAATGTTTCTTAATAGTAAAAATCACTATAGTTGTCCTTTGTCTGTGTGCCTGTGTGTGAGTGTATGATGTGTGTTTGAGGCTGAACTCTCTTTTGTCCATGCTGCTAAGTCACTGACAGTTGGACATGTGCTGCATCCTAGATGTAATGTATACTTTTTTGTCATATCGGATGTGTCTGATGTGCCAGGTGTGCTGGCACAGTGAGCACTCAGTGTGCCAGAATGGGAGACATCTGTTGCCAGGAGACGAGCAGCTATTTTCGAGAAGCAGTATAGCCATCATGGGATGTCAAGTAGCAGGAGTCTTCCCCAGAAGAAGAGGGAGAGAGAAGAGTGTTCAGTACTCCACCATAGATTTTATGTTACTATATAGAATGCCAGCAGAAACATGAATGGCCATACACATATACAGTGGGGTATATGGGAAACAGTATGCACACACATGTGTACATGGTTTCCATCTCAAACTAATCATTACCAGGAGAAACAAATGACAACGTACAGGCGAAAGTGTGTGTTGTTTTCCTGTGTGAGTCTGTGATCTTTAATATCCCATCTGTATTATCCTTTCCTACGTCATATGAACAATCACTTCCTCTCTGTTCTGGCTCTTATTCTGCCTTCTGCTCAGCTTTCCATTGCGAAGATGATAAGTAGTTTTAAAGGTCTATCCTAAATCACAAACATTTAGCCTGATAATGTCAAAATATTTGATAAAGCTTTGTATTGTCAGTCATTTTCAACATCTCAGTGCAGATAAATCTTTGCTTATTTCTGCTCCATAAGGTGAACTAATGTGTTGGGCATCTTAGGTTCATCCATTTTCTAACTCTTGACCAGCGTGTCAAGGATTTGAGCTGCTCCTCTTCTTACCTTTGGATGGAATATTGCTAAACTCTGGCTCATTGTTCCTCCAGATGGAGATGATCATTCATGCCTTTATTTTGTCCCACTTGGATCACTGCAGTTCTCTTTTTCATGCCTTAGCAGGTAATCACTGGATCATTTACAGGTGGCTCAGACTCCATCTGCAAGGCTTATTACCAGGTGTGCTAAAAGGTCTCACATTACACCTATTTTGATATATTTCCTTCCACTTGACTCAGAGGAAAAGAGGATTCCTGCACGAAGCAGAGCAAAAAAAAGGAAGCACTTTACAAGAGGGATGCATTTTACTGCGTTTGGCAGAGATTTTTACTGAACAGGTTTCAATGCATTTTTAAGACATTAGAGGTTTTATCAAGCTCCAAGTTGTCTTTTTATCTCTCACTTTTTGCTATTGCTCATAAATTTATTAAGTCAGAGTTTACGTTCTTGATTTTAACGCTTAAATTACCTTGGTCAGTGGGCTTCCTAATTGTGCTGTAGTCCAACTTTAAAACCAGTGTTTCCTCCTAGACTGTCTCTCCTTGGCCTTACGGACACTGTCTGTAGTGATTTCAAAAATATCAATTTATTGATACATATTGATTCTTAATATCTAAAATTATTTCAGTACTTATTTTCCTTTTACTTTCTTGGTCTCTCTTTTCACCAACAGAAAGTTGACCCACACTGCTGCAGTTCCCTTATAGCCCCGCCTCCTCTTACTCACTCACAATGCTGTCTTATCATTATTTGCCTTACAAGTACCAGTTGCCCGTAGACCCTATTAGGGCTGACGTCACAGTGACATTAGTTTGTTAGCTGGAGGCAAAACTCGCCACCACAGGGCTGTAGGCTACATAGCAGTCTTGATATGTTGTCTCGTTGTGTTATTGGGAGCCAGAATAGAAGGAGTCATGGCTCAAAACTTAAATTTTATCACATACCAGCTGCCTCTGCGTCCGCAAGCCCTGTGCGCGCAAAGCTCAGACTTTACGACCACGCGGACTCCGCTCCACGCACCAGTGACTCGTAAATTCAGTCTGATGCTCTGCACTAAAATGAGAACCTTGTTGGACGAAGAAACGGAGCGTTACATTTCTACATGAATTAATGAACAATTAGGTTGGTCACACATTCACTCCGCTTGGCCCTCTGCTGCTACGTCTCCCCAGATAACTCCTCCAGATAACCGCTACTGGATAACCGAACGGTACATTTTTACAGGACTCCACATTAGCCAGAGTGCACCTCTGTACTCAGAATGAGTATTTCCGAATGCACCACTTGTATCATCATCCATCATTGAAAAAAATCAAGCCAACAG